CCAGGGGCTCGGGGCCCAGAACTTGGGGCCGGGGCCTCCAGGAACTTGGGCCCTGGCTGCCAAGCCCCCAGTTTTCCAAAAAAGGTTTTCACCCTCTCCGTTACTGAAACCATCCAACACGCCCCCCAAGGCCGGCGGACCCACAGAGATGGAAAGCTGGCCTGATTTCGAAAAGCTTCGGAATGCTTTCAACAGATCCATGGCTTTACGGAGGGATCCCCGCCCCAGGGATGAGAGCCTTTGAATTCGAGGAGCGAGTGCAGCTGTTGAGGCTACCGAGACTCATCCTTTGGAGGATAAGGCGATCAGGGGTCAAATGGGCCCAGGCCCAGCCTTGATCTGCACGATATTCCGTGATACTTGTTTTTGCTTCCGTAGCCGGTGATTTGGTGCAGCTTTCAGCGCACGTGTGCCGATGAAAGAATCTGAGAGATAAGTCCAACAGAAAAAAAACACGTTGAAGAGCTTTTGATGCATGCACCACTCTCACTGAAAGCCTTTGATGACTTCAGCCTGAGGGTCGAGGCGTGATGCTCGTGCCATGTTCTAGCCTTGTGGTACCACTGCTTCAGCGAATCCAAGCCTGAACCAACTCCGAGTCAGTCATAGCAAAACAAGTACAGCACTTCCAACCATCCCAATTACACAGCCTAGCTGGAACAGAGTGATCTCTAGACATCTCTAGGCTGCGACAGCCAGTTTCGGGACAACGGATCGCGCGCCATGGTGCTCGAAGCTGTTCTCGGCCTGCTGCTGCCGGTGTCATGGGAAGTCATGGCACTGCAGCCTGTGGCTTTGCTGCAGATTTGTGACCTTGAAGTGCAGAATTCACTTAGAAGTTTGAACTTACCTGACGCCTCAAGCCTTAAGCTTTGCTCAGCTCTTCATGGCAGCGCACGCGGCATGCCGGACAATGCCGGACCGCTGCTATGATGCAAACGCTTCTAGATGGGGTTTGTCTTTGCATCAGGCCCCTGGTAGGAGGGCTTGTTATTCGATCTCGTGAAGCCTGCAACGTCTCATGCTAGATGCCCTTGACTCAAGAGCCGCAGAGCGACCCTTCGGAGTGCGCAGGAGATCTGGAGTCTCCTGATGGAAGAAGATCCCAAGGTCCAGGGCTCAGATTTTACAACCTCAGTTGTGCACGTTGTTCGCGGAAACAGCGAAGGAACATGAAGGAACCCTCCAAGAAGATGGACGCCGCAGCAGAGGTAGTTGCCTGACTGCACCACATTCCGACCTGCCTGCAATGTCTCGCGCGACCTGGTTTCGACCCGAGTCCCGCAGAGCAACCCCCCAGAGCGCGCAGGAGACGTGGAGTGTTGAGATGGAAGAAGATCCAAGGGTCTAGAGCTCAGATCTTGCAACCTCGGCGGTTTTCGTTCGCGGCAGTAAGGCCGTGTCTGTAGTTGATTGAGCCGCCGGTAAGCCGGCAGAAAAGGTCGGCACACCATGTATGAGTTTACGGCGTATACGCAAAAAGACCCTGGAAAAGCACCGTGTAAAGACCACTGTCCCTTTAAACGGGTGCCTCCTGGGGTTCCATTTTAGTAGGGTTTCTGATTTCTGGGTTCCATGTTAGCTGGATTTGTTGGGTTCAGGTCTAGATGTTCAGGGCGTAGGGCACTTGCACAGGAGTAAGCCGCAAGCATCCCAGGCTGAAAGTCGTCACCAGCGCAAGGGTTGCAACTTTTCTTGTTGCAGAAAACACCACATATGTCTTCTTATGAGCAATGCATAGCCCTAAGGCTTGTTGCCAGGACGGGACAACTGGAGCAGCTGGCTTCGCGGAGAGCCTCACTAGGGAGACGCTGGGTCGACTCCTCGGCATGCTTCTTTCGGGGAAGGTCCCAAGTCTGAATGAGTTTAGGCTATATAGGGGTTATATAAGAATAATGGAAAATGAAATGGAAACTGCTATATAGTATATGGGTGTTATATTAGGGATACTGGAAAATACAACGGAAACTACTATATAGTATATTGGGGTTATATAGGTTTTAGGGTTCAGGGTTTAGAGGCGTGGTAGGAAGATTATGAGTAAAGAAACGATTCTGTGCATCAGCCACCACAATGTGATGTGCAGATGAGGAAGTTTGGCAATCACGAAAAGGGTAGCTGCAAGGGCATGTTATAATCCTCAACCCCTAAGCCTCATAAATCCCTAAATCTTAAACCCTCAGCCCTGTAAAGAGCTCTGAATCCTGCATTCCAGATCCTTCCAACCCCAAAGTATTCAAAGCCAGTCAGGCCCCAAACCCTGAACTCCTGGTTTTCCGAACCCTAAAGCATACCCCCTGTAGCCTTTACAGGCAGCTGAGGTTTTTTGCGGCTAAGTGTGACGCTGGTCCTTACACTGAACCCCTAAAACTCTAAACTTCCGCAAGAGCACGCTCAGAAAACTAGGTGCGGAACAGCCCGATTTCTGAACGGGTAGCATCATGTAGTCGCTTGCAACTTCGAATTTACACAACACTGGCGTTTCGTGAAGAACAAAACCCTAAACCCAATACCGTAAAAGTGTACGGGCCCAAATTTTCCTCAAGAAGCAAGAACTCTTTGGACCATCCCGGAAACACCCTTATCATCATCGTCTCACTTTTCTGTCTAAGCCCGGGCATGCAAGGAAGCAGCATTCCAGACTCGACAGATCCCATGTTGCTTGGAAGTTCAGCGTAGTTTTCACCCACTTCTGGTTATACTTACAACCCAGTTAATACCTTGTTAGGGGTCTTGGGTATAAGTACAGTTATACCTCGGTTTTAATTAACTTTGGACCGGCTTTAGTACATGGCCTGCCCACCTCCCAAACATATCGAGTGGCCCTTCATACTAGCCAACAGGTCTATCTGGGTCATGAAGGTAAAGCCCTCAACCCTAAACCCGACTCAGGGTAGCATGCCTGAGTCAGTACTTGCGGGTCAATGTGTCAAGGACCAAAGCTGAGGGCAATTCCCGGTCGTAGAGGGTTCGGGACGGAAGAGCATGCTTTTCGGGAACGGCATACAACTTCTTGAACCAGTTGGTGGGGTTAGCGCATAGATTCCTAAACCTGAAGCTCTGAACCCAGAGATCACGTGATTTTTCAGGGATGGTCTTGGTGTCTCTTGCATCCTTGGAGTAGAGGTCCATACACTCAACATTTAAACTGTTGGGCTTGGAGAAAACATGACAGTGGATACCAACAATCCTGCATGACCCCAAGGTGCCTTTGAAGTGCGCATAGGGATGTAAAAAGGGTTGGGGGCTTAAGGTTTCAGGTTGACATTAAAAAGACACTGCATGGCCCCTGAGTACCTTATACCGTGGGAAGTATGGTATTCTAGCCTAGTAAGGTCATGCAGAAGGTTTCAACAGGATGAAGCTTAACAGCAGCGCATGTCCCCAGTCCGGGCTCTAGGGTTTGGGTTTGGCTGAGGGTTTCTGGTTTAGGGGTTTGGGTTTATAGGGTTTATGAGGCAATTTTGCGAACTGCAACACCAGACCTTGCCTTGCCCTCTTCATCACCCCTGCCTCGGAAGCCCTGAACCTGAAACTTTCCATGTTCTCTTCCGCTCGATTCTCCCTGTACAATCCCATAATATGGGTCATCATTTAAGGCCCCTAAGCTATATGTCCAGTAGTCCCAATCATGCGACCAGGTTCTTCAAGAAATGGCCAGGCGAAACGGAGGAGCCTACGTCTCAGTTGCCCATGCTGTTCCACGGACGTGCGGTAGTTTCCCAAAACAGGGGGACCCAACATGGACCCCAACATACTAGAATCTTTATTCAAAAAAGGCTCAACAAAAGGGCCCTAAACCCGGTACATATATGAGCAACCGTCAATATTAGCGTTATCAAGGGGCCCTTCACAGTGGCCACAGAAGTCCCTCTCGTAGTCGAGTATGGTCCTTGCTGTGTTCGCTTGAACCATTGCAACCCTGAGCTGAGGCAAAACACCCAGCGCCTCCTTGCCCTCTCCTGAGTTGAGGTTTCCCAAAACCAGGGGTACCCTTTACAGGGGGATATAGCGGTTACATCGGATGAGATAGAAATAGATAGGGATCTGTAGGCTTCAGGATTTCCCAAAATCAGGGGTACCCTTCCAAGAGCGTCCCCATGAAAAGGATTCCAGTGTTTGGGCTAAACTTGGGGCCCCAGCCAACATCCGCGGCACATCTGCAGGGACTCGAGCTCCACAAGTCCTGTGCAGAGGCCTCACCATCCCGGCCTCTTTTGGTGGTTTGCTGTTCAGGAATTTAAATTAAGTTGCTAGAGCAACTAAAACTCATTATTTACGATATACCCATACTATGGCAATTAAATTCAAGTTCCTTAACAGCAACCCACTTTTTGATGGGTCCATGTTCGCCTAGACAGGGGGTCGCCGAAGGGCACGAAGAGCCGGCAACTCCTCGGACGCCAGAAATCGGGTAACGTAGAATCTGTATCTGGGGGTTTCTCAAAATTAGGCTTACCCTTTTGGGGGTCCCAATCACAAGGACTCTAGTATTTTGGGGGTCTATGTATTGGGGGGTACCCCTATTTATGGAAACTACTTAACATATAATTACCAGAAATTATCCTTGTATAGGTATAGGAATCCCCTTTACTAAAGGGGGTCCCCCCTGAACAAGTGACCATTCTCTTTAATTCGGGGCCAACCCCCAAATTTGCCGCAATTAAGATCGAAAAGAACATGAATCCCGGTAGTAGCCTTGAAGCTGGTATTCCTTTTCGTATCAGTGTGCACCGAAAATTTCTATTATTCCGAACTCCCAAACAATAGCGGATTCTGAGCGATTTTCTCCGGAAAACTCCCAAAATGATATCGGTAATTATTTAGGCCCTAGAGTACTCATGCTCACGGCTTTCAGTTTGGAGTGTCTTGGCGAGGAAGCTAGCTTTGACTTCGACATGGACTGCGAGGAGCGCTGTCACGGCCTCTGCCCCAGCCATCCCAAAGCCGGCAANNAATCACAGTACTAACAGTGCTATTCAGTAGTAGTAGTAGTAGTAGTAGTAGTAGCAGCAGCAGCAGCAGTAGCAGTAGCAGTAGCAGTAGCAGTAGTAGTAGTAGTAGCAGCAGTAGTAGTAGTAGAAGAAGTAGTAGTAGTAGTAGTGGTGGTAGTAGTAGTAGCAGCAGTAGTAGTAGTGGTGGTGGTGGTGGTGGTGGTGGTAGTAGTAGTATTATTATTATTAGTAGTAGTAGTAGTAGTAAAATCGATAATGGTGCCAATCTCAAATCATTTGAGTCATGTCTGGTGCAAGCGTTTGCAAGGACGTCCTGAGCTCAGGCTCTGTCGCGTTCGGCGGCGTCGACGACCAGCCGCTCCTTCGGACGGACAACAGTCTGGGAAGTGCCTCGGGCTGCACGCCATCTCCACTGGGCGTCTGCTGATGTTTTCAAGTGCGACCTTCTTCTGCTCTGTGCTGAGGTATGGAGCGGTCGCTGGAGGAGCTCGAAACCTTGCAATCGCCGAGTGCTCGTTTTTTCTCTTGGAAATGGATTTGCAACTTGGCACTCTTTCTTTCTTATTCCTACTAAGTAGTAGTGTTGGTATGTTGGTATGATGCCTGGTGTCACTATTCTCGGTGCAATCCCAGTTTTCATTTTCTGTTTCTATTGCTTCTCCATTGTTGGCCTGTATATCCCTAAATCCATAAAACCCTGAAGCCTAAACCTGTAAGCCCTAAAACCCTAAACTCTACACCGGAAGATTGGAGAGGCGTCCGGCTGGATCCCCACATAGCTGAGGGAGGAGCGCATGCCTTTTTACCGAAAGCGTTTTCCAAAGGGAAGAAAGACCTAAGGAAATTGAGGAGGAGGGTTATGCTCAGCGGACTATGGACAGATTGACAGATAGTTTCGTAGAGGATTGCCATGAAAAGCAATCTTGCAACCATGTGGAGAAAAGGTCATGCAAAAACCGGTCGAGGTGGTTCAGGGAAAGGATCGCCCCCACTCGCAACCCTGACCCGGACCAGGCCGCAAGAGCAGGGGTTTCGGATTTGAGGGTTTTGGGCTTAGGGAGATGGAGCGGTTGATGTGCGCTGTAGTAGCTCTGTGACTACCGGAGCTTCGTAGAGTACAGCCAAGTTTCTTTGAGCGTGCACGTGTATATTTCCGAGTGGGGATCTGGCCCTAAGATCCACGCAGCCCAGACTCAAAAGAAATCATGTGTACTGGTTTTCGGGAGCTCGCCAGATGAAGCTCCTGTGAAAAACAAAGATGTAAGGTACAGTACTGTGCCCAGAGTTATGTGGGTATACTCCCCCTTAAGTAGATAGAACATGGCTTTGGGTATACTATAATAAGATCCACATATGCCCCGTATTCTATGTATTTAAGGTGGACTATAGTTCGAAAGCTCCGTGTAAAGAGGAGACCATTGTGCATTACGTAGTCCTTGTATATGGCCCCTATGAATCGAACGCCATCATTCCAAGACCCCAAACCCTGCACTTACTGGTTCCAGTAGGGAATAAGGGAACATAATCCCGGTACAATATGTAAATAAAAGATTCCGTTATTCCCTACTAAGAGCCAGTAAGTATATATCCCTGCAGAGTCGCTGCCGGGTTCTGAAAAAGGTCCGAAGGAGCGGCTGGTCTTTGACCCCGCCGAACGCGACACAGTCTGAGCTCAGGACGTCCTTGCAAACGCTTGCACCAGACATGACTCAAATGATTTGAGATTGGCACCATTATCGATTTTACTACTACTAATAATAAGACTACTACTACTACTACTAC